ATGAGATGTTTACTCTGCAGAAGTAGCCCACTTCCCAGAGTTGTTGGGAAGGTCCAAGGATACGCCAGTATGCCTTAGTTTTTAGTCAGACAACTCCCTAATTTTTTCTTCTTTCTCTTTTTTCTTTTTTTCAATTGAATCATCATTAGACACACAGTTACAAAGTTGTTCATGATTTGGTTTCCATCATACAGTGTTGTCCTTTTACTAGTGTATATTTCCTTCCACCAATGTCCCCAGTCCACCCCCCCACCCCCGCAGCCTGCTTCTATGGCAGACACATACTCTGTCTCTATCTCTGTCTGTCTGTCTCTCTCTCTCTCTCTCTCTTACTCTCTCTCACACTGTCATTTGCAGTATTGTTACTGAAAGAGCATCGTGTGTACCATTTTACCATCCTTTCAGCACTCAGTTCTTATCCAGAGTGATCATTTCCAATGATTATTGTCATGGTGGTCCCTTCTCTATCCTAACTGCAATCTGCAATTCACCACATCTTATTGCACGTTTCTTACCATAGAGCTGTCTTCTTGGCTCTTGTTTCTGCTATCTTTGGTTAATATTCTCCTACTAGGTTGTTTTGTTTTTATATCCCACAAATGAATATAATCATTCTATGTTCGCCCCTCTCCTTCTGACTTATTTCACTCAGTATGATACTCTCCATGTTCATAAAGAAGCAAATTCATAACTTAATTTTTATTACTGGTTGTGTAGTATTCCATTGTGTAGATATACCATAGTTTTTTTTATCCCCTTATCTGTTCTGGGGCACTTGGGTTGTTCTGGGGCTTGTGAATTGTGCTGCGCTGAAGGGAATAGTCGGCAAACAGCTCTGTTTCTCTTCCGTGTCCCTGTGGCCAGTGCCTCACTGTAGCCTTTTTTCATCTTTGGTCTCTCTTCTCAGTAGTTACGGTCTTTCCATTGGTGACCCCTCCCTGCTCAACCTTGCAGAATACTGCAGACAATTTTTTTCCCCACAGTGTTTGAATTTTATCTTATTTTTATAAAGTTGTTCACAATAATTCATGACATTTGATATTCCAACACCAACCCCACCATCATTATATCTTCCCACCAACGTATTTCGAATGTTTCCATCCCGACCCCTAAGCCCTGCCCCCAAAGCAGGACCTAAATGATTTATTTTGTATTGCTTGTTATGATGAATCTGTTAAAAATGATCCAAAAAAAGTTTCCTTAGAGGAAAGTGTGAAGTTTATTGTATTTCACCATGGAGCCGTTAAGCCCTTGCATAAGGGATTACTAATGTGTTGTTAAAGGTTGAGCCTTGTGTGCTTTTATCTATGTACACACATATATATATTCCCTGCCCTACCCCCGAGATGGGTTGCCTTCTACTTTACACCCCATCAAATGTGGTGTGCTACTCTTGGCACATCAGTGGTGAGAGGCCAAAATTTTCTCTTCAGAACAAAGAACAAGTGTTGTAACTCCTTTAAAGAGAAGCCTCTCAATTCTCAGTATGGGTTATATGTAGCCCCCTTAACCTTTGGTTTGGGGCTCTTCTGCAAAATAAAGAGAGAATAGCAGTTGTTTTTAGCAGTTTCTTGGGCCTCAGTCTCAATTGTCTTATCTGCTTAGCTACATATTCCCTGGCCATTCACATTTTTCTGCCAAGTCTCGAGCAGACTGGTATAGAACAGGCAATATTCAAACATATTTGATGACTGAATTAATGTGGTACTGTTTCTGTATCATCCCCCTTTCGAACTGTGCAGCTTTATTCTATTTCCAGGTGTCAAAGAGGAAAAATGGTATACTCCGGAAATCTAAGCTCTAAGACAAATTCTTTTGTTTGTTTGGTTTGGGGCCACACCCAGCAGTGCTCAGGACTTGCTCTTGGCTCTGTGCTCAGGAATCTCTCCTGACAGTCTTAGGGGACCATATGGGATACCAGGAATTGAGTTCTGGTCAACCATGTGCAAGGCAAACGCCCTCTCTGTACTGTCTTCCTGGCCCATCTATGACTAATTCTTAAAAAAGAGACAGTCAGTTCTAAGGTACCTATCTTATAAACAGTAACGGTTCTGTGAATGTGCTTTATACTAACATTTTCTATAACCAGTGTTAGAAACCAAGATCCATGATCCACACCCACCAGCCAACCCAGAGAAGAAGCTAACATTACAGGTAGCAGTATGGATCGAGGACTTGACCTTTATCATTGGGAGTCTTATGACAGATAAATGAGGAAATCAGACATAGTTTTAGACTATGTATTTTTTCCTAGACTATAATTCTTAAAAGAGGACTTTGGCTATTTGATGCCATTTCCCAAAATAATACAGTAAACATAATTTTAAAGAAAGTTCAGATGTTAATCTAGGGGACTTTTGCTATGATAGGATAATTTCTTTCAAAGGAAATACATTAACTCCCACTTTATTTATTTTTTGCTTTTTGGATCATACCCAGCGATGCTCAGGGGTTACTCCTGGCTCAGCACTCAGGAATTAATTCCTGGCAGTGCTTGAGGGACCATATAGGATACCAGGGATCTATTAACTAGAAAGCTCAGTTATTTTCTAATACGGGTAAGTACCATTTACTGTCATCCGAATCTTAGCCCAGGCATCTCTACACACTTACAAAGAAGACTCTATTATTTGGGAGATGGGTTTGTGTTGCTTGTGATGGCTGAGAATTATCTCCAATAAATGTTCAACTGTTGTAACTGAAGTCTACATTTTCCCGGTATCTTATTTTAATAAGTGACCTTGGTGTCATATGGAAATCTGTGTCCCTGCTCCAGTGAAAAAAGAAGAGTGGCAGGCCTGCGCAGAAGAGGGCTGATGGGAAAGCAGATAGTAGGATAGAGCTCACGTGTGGGCCAGGACTCTTCCCCCCCCCCCCCCACCTCCTCCCCCCATTGCCTCTCCCCCCCACACACACACACCCACACACGATGCTGTCTGCTGTTCACTGCTTTGATGCTTGGTATAGTTGCTTGTGGCGAATAATTTTTTGCTCTTTCCACCACCTCCAGAAGGCAATGCATAACCATGTCTGTGTTGAGCCCATGAGTTGTCCTATAAAAGTCTTGTCTGTGGCTTATCACTTGTTTCTTAAGGTGCTTTTTTTCTTTTTAAAGGACCTTGAACAATATAACGTGCAAATATCAACCTAGTGTTATGGTTCAAAATATAATGAGCCAGGCTAGGCTGCCTCTTCGACTCTCTGTGAGGTCTCCCTCTATACCACCTTGTCTTTGGGTTAGTGTATCCACATGGGCTCAGAATTCCCTCCTGGTTGTCTTTCAGCCCATCAAACCAAATCCGTCTCCATTACGTCCTTCCAGCACGGAGGACTGGACAACATAGGGAGCACAAAACAGCTAAAGGGTTTCACTGAGGCAAAAGCTGTAAACTGGTTCATGGGCCTAAGTATGTTTTATCAAATTTTCAAAATTGAAGAATTTTAAAAACGTATCAACGCTTAAGAGCTGTAAAATGAGCAGCGGGATTTGGGTTTTGGGCAGTTCTTAGTATATTAAAAAACGCAGTGTGCTGGGACTTGAGTTGTGACCACAGCTGGCGCCAAACAGTGGACCTGATAGGCTGATGCATTCTCTGCTCATGGGTCTCCTACCTTGCTTGGCATTTGCATTTATTTGTAGTCTCTGGAGTATTATATGCTTTCGAAGTCAGCCACACTTGGCTCTCACAAACAAAAGCAGTACTTCCCTTAAGTTTAAGCCAGAGTATATGCATACACCACACCCTACATGAATTTAAAAGGTGTGTAGGGATCTTTGCTGATGGATTTCTGTAAAAATACAGGCTTGGAAAAAAATCTTTTCAGGTTAGAAAAAGTCAGTGTATATTATTTCTTGTTATACTTGAAGTGAATTTAGTATTTATAAGACTGAAAATGGGCAGCACAGAAAGCTAGATCCTTAAAAATTCTTTGAAGAAAAAATGTTTAAGAACGTTTAAAATTTTACTTTAGGAAAAAGAAAAAATTGTAACAGTCAAGCCATTTAAAAGTGTTGCACAGCAAAAACTCATGTTCTGACTAGTCAAAACTCTATTCAAGTTAGTATATTTAATATTTTACGTTAACATTTTAAATTTATATTGAAATGGTCACTCTCACTAACTCTGAATTTGAAGTCTTCCCACCCCGCCCCCCCCCCGGGGTTTGGGGAACATACCCAGCTGTGCTCAGGGTTTACTACTTGCTCTGTGCTCAGGAATCATTCATGGTAGTGCTCAAAGGACTGTATTCCATACCCTTTGGAATAGAGAGTAAGAATTCCATTCATGTTTCGGTCTGCTGCATGCAGGACAAGTATCTTCACCACTATGTGCACAGTCTCTCTCTAGCCCCTTTTCCTTTCTGTTTTGGCAGATGGTCATTGCCCCCTCTGTGGATGCTCTCTTCAAGTGCTCATGTCAGCCCCCTGCCTCTTTCCTCATACTGGGATACTTTGTTTAAAACACGGTGGCACACTCTTGAACATGCTTTAATTAATGCAGAAAGTGCTGGTGTCAACACGTTAAGGACACTCACTCTACTGGGAGACCGCATTCCATTCTGGACTTCTTCTGATGCCTTCTTTTCTCAGGTTCCTCTTGAGAACAGCAAGGAAGGGGGAAGTTGGGAAGTGTACCTGGCTTCTTCAACCAAGATACTAAAGTATTTTTTATCACTGCTATGCAATGAATGTAATTGTACAGCAAAATAAACATTTAAAAATTTTAAATTTTGCCTTGAAAGATTTTATTACTCCACCCTCATTATGAATTTTTTTTGGTGGGGAGTCACACCTGGTAGTACACAGCACTTTTGACTCTGCACTCAGGGATCACTCTTGGTGGGGCTTAGGGAACTATATGGGCTACTGAGGATCAAACCCAGGTCAGCTACATGGCAGGGCAAGCCCCCTACCCACTGTACTATTGCTTCAGCTCTTCCCCTTATTTTAAATCTACGTGGAAAGTAAATGCATGTAAAATATCTCTTTTTATCTTTAGCGCTCTTCAAAAAATGTGGAGTCCTTCGCGTCTATGCTGAGACATTCTCCTCTTACACAGATGGGCCCTGCCAAGGATAAGCTGGTCACTGGACGCATCTTTCACATAGTGGAAAATGATCTTTATATAGATTTTGGCGGCAAGTTTCACTGTGTTTGTAAAAGACCAGAAGTGGATGGAGAGTAAGTAGATTCATTTCCAAATGTTTTAAGAGTGCTCATGCCAATTGAGATACCTTAGAAGTATTACTGGACTTAGAACGTTGCTTAATTTGAGCCAGTGTGTGATTTTTGAAGACGGGAAATGTGCTTATTTCTCTTGATAGTGCTTCTTCGTTAAGGCCAGATTCATGTCATGTCATGTTATGTTAGCCTAGTCAGACCAAGTACATGTCTTTTCAAAGAAGTGAGAGAAGTTTCAGGGAGGATTTAAATAATAAGCCATTCCGTACTGAAAACTCCCATCAGCTTTTCATAATGCATGTGGCTCCGGCCATTTTACATGACCCTGTTTTTGTCCCATCCTTTGTTCCAGTCACTTCTCCTCAGTCTCTCATTTTAATTATATGTGCTCTTTTTTTTCTTCACAAAATTCTGGTGCTTTATAGTTTTGCTGTTATTTTGTATCTATCCTTAGGATTCTGGATTTTCCTAATTAGTTTTAATTCTGTGTGTATAATTCATTGTTTGCAGGTTGTATAGATAAAGATCTTTGTCAATATAAAGTGGAAACCAAAACCACTAAGGTGAAAGACCAAGGCATTAAATACAAAGAATGAAAGGAAATGTGGAAATCAGATTCTGAGATTGGACATCGGTGGTACACAAAATAGAAATGACATTTTTCAGGTCCAGAGAGATAGTCATAGTGGATGGGGTGCTTACCTTGCAAATGGCCAACCCAGGGTCAATCCTTGACACTCCATGTGGTCCACTGAACCCCATCAGGAGTGAGTGATCCCTGAGCACTTGGGAGCCAGCCCTGAGCATAGCGAGGTATAGTCAAAAGTAAAAAAAAAAATGAAGTGAAAAAAAATTAAAAAAACTTTTTCTCATCAGGGCTGGAGCGATAGCACAGCAGGTAGGTTGTTTGCCTTGCATGCAGCCAACATGGCCGAAGCGAGTTCGATTCCTCTGCCCCTCTCGGAGAGCCCGGCAAGCTACCGAGAGTATCTCACCTGCACGGCAAAGCCTGGCAAGCTCCCCGCAACGTCTTCAATGTGCCAAACACAGTAACAACAAGTCTCACAATGAAGATGTTACTGGGCCTGCTGGAGCAAATCAATAAACAACAGGAGGACAGTGACAGTGACATCAGTTTTTAATGTTTACTTTTTTTTTTCTTTTTGGGTCACACCTGGCGATGCTCGGCTTACTTCTGGCTTTGCACTCAGGAATCACTCCTGGTGGTGCCCAGGGGACCACCAGGTGCATATGGGATGCTAGGAATCGAACCCGGGTCGGCCGCGTGCAAGGCAAATGCCCTACCTGCTGTGCTGTTGCTCCAGCCCTAATATTTGCATTTTATAATTTAATATCAAAATGCATCTTACAGTTGGCTATATGAGAATGTTTTAATTGAGAATGTTTTTATTCTTTATAATGCATACTCATGAATCAAGTGATTTTGAGAGTATATTTTGAGATAATATTTGAGATAGGATGAATTATAATGATTAAGAAACTTGTGATATTTAGGAATAAATCATGTTATAAAAATTCATATAGAAAAAGTTAAAAAGTTTAGTTTAGACTTAGGGGAGCACTTCTGGGGTGTGCTAGAGAAAGAGAGTCCAAAAGTTAAGGCTCTTTCCTTGTATGTGAATAACCCCAGTTTGCTCCCTGAGCACAGAGCCAAGAGTAGGTCCTGGGTACCGCTGTGTCCCCCAAACAAAAAACTCAAAAAAAACCAAGATACACTCTGTGCTGAGGGATCACTCTTGGAAGTGCTTGGTGGACCAGATACAGTGTTGGGGACCAAGCTGGGGAACAAAACTGGGGTGAACTGCTTGTGCAAGGCAAGTGCCTTATATCTTTGCCTTTTTTTTTTTTTTTGCGGGGGGCGGGGGGCGGTTACATCCGGTATAGTTACTCATGGCTCATGCACTCAGTAATTACTCCTGGCGGTGCTCGGGGACCATATGGGATGCTGGGAATCGAACCTGGGTCGGCCACGTGCAAGGCATACACCCTCCCCGCCGTGCTACTGCTCCAGCCCAAGTGCCTGTTACCTTATATTATCTTTCTGGCCCCTATCTTTTGCTCAGTATTCTGTAGTTTTCTGCACATAGACACTGTAAATGTTTTATTAAATGAATACCTAAGTTAATAAAAAATAAAAACAGAATTGTTTTGCATTTTGCATTATTAAAATATAAGTATTGGGGCCAGAGCGATAGGACAGTGGGAAAGGCGCTTACCTTGCATGCAGCCAGCTAGACTCAATCCACAGCACCACATATGTTCCCTCAAGCACTATTGTGAGCGAGCACAGAGCCAGGATATATCCCAGGCCCTGCTGGGTGTGACCCCGAAACAAAATAAAAAACCCAGACTTGTAAAAACATATTTATTTTAAAAAGGAAAATTTGGAAATAGGTTGCCTCTGCTTACTTCATTAGGATAAGTTTCTTCTACCTGAATCTGAAGGAGCATCAGCAAACATAACGGAATATGCATTTCCTCCATTTAATGTTGTATGAGGAAATATTTAATAATGAGAACTCTCATTTTAAAAAAAGACTATGATCTGTCAATTCCTGTGGTATAAAATAGTCTCACAATGGTCATTTTTAACTTACTAGAGTAGCATCAGTGAAGGCAGACTTGATCATGCCTACGTGTACTCGGTCAGGTCTGACATGTTCATACGTTCTGGCTTCCACACACGCTCCACCAGGTAATCGGAAGCGAACAGTGTCATAGCACGATGAGGAGTGCAAATCAGGTGACACCTGGAAGAGAAAAGGGCTCATCTGCTGCCTGGTGAGAGAGGGAACAGCTCAGGGCTTGCCTTGGTATGTTCAGCACTACTCATGCTTCGTCCAGAAGCATGCAACATCAAAAGAAATTTCTATGTAGGATGTATCTGTCCAAGTCTTAATACTGTCATCTGTGTTCATTGTATAATGTATTATTAAAGGGATTGGACTAGAGGATATGTTAAGATATGTAAACAATGTAGTATAAAGAACTGTGTGTTTGTATTTGTCGATGAAATGTTTATGGCATATCTCTCATGGATATTTATTTCTTTGTCAGTGTTCTTTTATGTATTCGGTTTGTTTTCCCATTTAAGTTTTAAAACAGTAGTTTTGCCATTGTTATATTCTTTAGCATCATAGTCCACTGAATGTCCTAGAGACCTAGAATTTCTGATTTCGTTTTTATGCTTTATTGACCAAATCCTGGAATGTTAAGCCTCAGTGCTTTTGACCAGATACTTCTCTGATCAGTGCTAGATTATGATTTAAATTTATGTATTGCATAACTTTTGATGCCTAAAGGTTGGAATCTGTTTTTACAATTTTTTATTTTTAAGATTATTTTTAAAATAACTGTTTTAAAATTTAATTTAGTTATAAAAATACACAGCATAACAAACACGCTTTCTGTTACAGAAACTGTTTGTAAAGCTCAAATTTCCATCCCCGTGCTTATTCCTTCCAAAAAAGTATGTAATATTTTTCCTATAAATTTTATCTGGGAGAAGGATAATTTGAAAATCAGTTTTTTTTCTCTAGAGCAATAACTATATTAGAATCTTTGTATACTTAGAGGTTAAATTTCTACATTTCTTCCTGTAGTTTCCACAATCACATGTATATGTGTTTTGGTGGAGGGGTACCCTAAGGGGAGGTTTGGCTGAAAGTTCAGAGATCACTTCTGGTGATGCTTGGGGGACCTTTCGTGGGCTGGGGAACAAACAAGTTAACCACATTCGGGGCAAGTGCCTTAATCTTCCTGCCCTTCCCCAGCCCTCAGAAGTCGTTATCGTAACTCCTGCTTCCATGTGTCTGCCTAGTATCCAGTAGCACTCACCAGAAATTCCCACTCAAAACACTCACAAAACCTCTATGTTCCTGACGAGGATTAAGAAGAGATGCTGGTGCAAGGAAAGGCGTTTTAATATTTTGCAGGAACCCCATAAAGTAGATGCCATAAAATAGAGACTCTTGTACTACAGTGAAATTATTATTAAATTCATTTGAGCAGAGAAACTGTAAAGATTGTGAGTTCAGGATAGAATCATACAAATCTGGGGGGAATTGCTTTCTTTCTCAGTATTTTGCAGCTTCTGATCTACTTCAATGTGGCTGACCCTGGCCAGCCCAGATACTGCAGTTCTGGGCACTGGAAATCAGCGCAGAGCTCCAGTGGAACAATTTCTGTTCAGTGAGATGGCAGAGGATTGATTATTTGTATTAGTTGCTTTCAGTTCATGATTATACTGTGTGGGTGTATACCCTTTTTAAAAAAAATAATGCCGCACTTTGACCAACTTCTTCATGTATTAATTAGTGAGTCACATAACTTGTAACATGATATAAAAATCTGAAGCACTTCTTTTTGTAATTAATTTTTTTATTTACATTTTTTTAATTGAATCACCTTGAACCATGGTTGCAAAGTTGTTCATGATTGGGTTTCAGTCATACACTATTCCAACACCCGTCCCTTACTCAGGTAAAGTGCTTTTCTGATCATATGAACCTGCCTGCTTTCTTTTGAACGTATTTTTCTTTGGTGTCATTAATCACTCTCATACCATTGTTCATCAATTTACTCAAGCGGGCGCTAGTAACGTCTCTATTCATCCCAGCCCCGAGATTTTAGCAGCCTCTCTTTACTTGTCTTTCCCAATGATTGGAGGCTCTTTCAGGGTCAGGGGAATGAGACCTGTTATTGTTACTGGTTTTGGCGTATCGAATACACCATGGGAGCTTGCCAAACTCTGCCAGTGCGGGCGGGATACTCTCGGTAGCTTGCTGGGCTCTCTGATTTGTTGCCTACTATCCGAACTCCATCAAACATGGTGTGGTAATTATGGAAAATGAGTAGGAAATGTCTTATGATGTGTCACGGCCACATGGTTCGGAATGCAGCCTGGAGCGTGGCGGCGGTTGTGTAGTGGAAGTCAGCTGCCGGGGCTGGGTCCTTTGGGGCGAGGGGGGCTCCTGCCT